GACCTTAAGTGTTAATCTGCCCTCATTCTATTTTCAATGAGGGGAAGAGAGTCTTAGAAAAACAAATCCAGGCGAACAATGTAATCCAGGTCTGACATTCGACTCCTATTGGTCGTTTTTCTGTTTGTTCACTTTTATCAGTCCAACCGGATTCTCATGGCTCGCTACTAGTAAGCAAATGGTAGGGATTTTTCAAAGCTGACAGTCACTTTAGCAAGATGGTGTTCAAGGATCTAATTAAACCATTGGCTCGGTGTTCCCAGTTGCAGAGTAGCACAAAAGCACTGAGGAAGTAAAGGTAAAAGACCTTCCTGTGTTTCAGTGCTACATCCGTGACTGGGAGGGGCACTGTCATGCTCTTGCTATTCTTCCCCCCCCGCATTATGTTGAGTGGCTGAACAACTGTTGCATTTTTCAGTTGTTAGTTTCCAGTGATGGGAACCAATATAGCCATTGCCTTTCCTATTCCTTTCTTCCTAAACGGTAGGATTAAGGAGCAATGAACACATCTTTTACATTTCTGTTCATGCCTTCATATTTCCAATTTTTTAGGGCCGGAGGTCCCCACTCAAAGCCGCGCCATGTTTGTACCTCTGCAAGCCAGCGCATTTATAAATTTCAGAGAATTTTAAACACAATTAGGCTGAAGAAATGGCCTCTGATGGCTTCGACTACTTGCTTGCTGCACTGTGCCTTCTGAAATCAGAACAGCCTGCTAGGCTGCATATTATCAGTGCTGTCTTCTGTGTAACTGGCAATGTGCAAGGCAGGGTTACACAAAATAATGGATATACTAGACTGACATGTCAGGTCCTATTTTATTATAGGAGACCGTACTTCAGTCACAGGGCAGGTTTCAGAAAGATTAAAATTGCCAGGCCACTAATGTCTTTTAACCCTTAGCATTTAGACTAGCAGCAAAATGAATGCTTAGCAGGGTATTTATATATACCTGCACTCATTCCAGTGCAGCCCTGTGTGGAAAACTGATAGCCTTAGAAACATCATAGATGGAAAAGACCTGTTAAATCAGGCTATCCATCTCCTGGGAGGTGATACAGGACTGCTCCCTTCGGAATATTTTTGGTACATAGCCAATCTAGTTTTAAACAGCCCAAGAGATTGGGCTTTCTGTATTGTTATACCATCTAATCCTGCTCAATATTGGGAAGCTGCACATAACATACAGCCTAAATTTCCCATGAATTTTGAAGTTATTTATTGCAAAATGTGATTCTGAGAGTGCCTGAGCTAAAGCTGGGGACAAAAAGAAGTGAGGGGGCAAAACAGTCAAAAGCCTAGCAATCAGACATTCAGTTGGGATGAGAGAGCTCAAGTCTCTTATCTGCCATTTTTCCAACTCCCAGATGGGAGGGCTGTGAACATCAGGTTATTGTCCCTCCCCATCTCCCCTGCTGGAGCTGGCCTGCACCGTATAACTATTTAAGGTGGGAATCTCAAAGCTACATCAGGACATGAATGACCCAGTCCTATGGGAAACATCCAGTCCTATAAGCACTGAGTACCCAAAGCCATAGCCCCCTTATAAAGCCTCTGCTTCAATTCTCCTAGATTATAATATATGACAGGCAGAGCAACTTCTGCATCATGCTGCTTCAACATGTAAGCACAGAGGGTGCCGTTTTCCCCTGTGCAGAGAGCTGGCAAGACCACTACTCCCTGCTCAGCCATTGGGATAATGCTAGCTCTTATTACAGGGGTGAATTTTACCCAAAGCATTTAACAGACCACAACATTTGCCATTTCCTAGCACTGTGACCTAGTGGCTGTTTACTGGCTTAACCATAAGACACAGACAAACCATCAGGGGCTTGCATTGCAATTGTTGCATTGAGAGGCAAAAGAAGAACATTGATGCTACAATGATAACTTAAGTATTAAGAGCAGGTTAGAGGCACAGAAACATTTTGGAAACACGGTGGGCAGAGTTGGGAGGGAAGGGAGGCTTCTGGCGGTACCTAGCACTAGCTACAACCCCTCTTACAGTGTAAAAGTCAGTCCTAACCACTCGGCTAGTACAGTGGCATCTGAAGTAAAATTGGCCAAAGGATTTTGCTGGAGCAATCTGCAGAGAAACCCGCCCATCTTGACATCAGAACGCTTCATCACTTGGGAAACGTGCCTTTTAGAAAAACTCCCCCCACAAAACCCTTCCAAACATGTTGAAATGCCCCATTTGATATTCTTGGAATGAAGCTTTTCAATTCTTCATTTGTAAAATAGATTACATTTCATTTCTCTAAAACACGGCATCATCTTCTATGCTGGAAGAGTCAAAGTCAAAACTGAAACGTTTTAATTGATCAAAAACAAATTGTTTTCGACTTTTCTTGTTTAGAGAACTTGGAAATGCCCAGGGCCCATTTCAATTTGAAACAAAGCCAAACACTGAAATCTCCGAATCTGTCACACAATGGACCTGTTCTCTTCCAGCCAGCTCTGCTTTCAAGTTATCACCATTCATTGGACCATACATGCTTTGATATCAGGTTTTTGGCCCTTATTTCTAAAGGTAAAAAACAATTTTTGGATGCATTTGTTCTCTTTTAGACTGAAAGGGTTTATAATACTTACTGTTAAACCAATTTTCGAGCGTAGTAGCAATTTCTGTATGCCTCTGAAGCCATATCCTTTTAAAATCACAAGTACACAAATAACTAGGAAAGCGTGGCTGCACAATTACCTGTCAGACAGGTCATTTGAATTCCCAATAGCTAACAGCATAGAGATTAGTCAGTCTGCCCAAATAGTAGGATGCCCGACTAGTACTTGTTCTATACCCGCACCTTCCTGGCATTAAACAGATCAGGCAGCAGACAGCTCTCCTCCAAAGCGCTCCATATATCACACCCGTCTAAGTAGAAGACAGTTGGGTTCAGCACTTGAAAGATTTGAATGCTACCAAATCTGTTTCTGCACTTACTCATGCCGACATCAGCCCACTGATTTCCCCATGAATTCCACCTGATATACCCCAGCACAAGTGATTCAAGGCTTAAGCCCAATGTTTCAGCATTTTCAGAGATTAAAAGGCATTTGCAGCCTTGCACTGTTGTTGCAATTCCAATTTCTAAGAGGTTGAGATAACATGAGCTACAGAAGTTAGGGTTTGCATTAATACAAAGGCAAGGAATAGAAATTGCCTTTCATATCAAGTCACAGCACTGGGGCTTTGAATCGTGCTTTAGAAGAAGGTGCCGAGCTCTGTTGCCGGCATCTGTAGAGCGCGCTGTAGTTGCTGACTGTGTTGTATTTGTCTGACATTTGCTACAGAGGCCAGCGAACTACTTGCTATTAGGGAAGTGTCTTTTCTCATGAAGGCAGCATGCCTGATCCTCCTTCAGCCTACGAGCTGAAGCTCATCGCTATACTCCAAAAGAAAACACAGCACAAAGCACAGCCGATCTCTCAAGTTGAGACTATGACTTGTCCCCCCAGGCCTAAGAGAAGTGACATCACTCCTTGGTAGGGGATAATAGATAGAAATTAGCCCTTTGCACCATTCTTCCATAGCATTGTCACCAGCGCAATCCCAGTGTAAGCTGCTGGCACGGAGAGTGACAAGCTTGAAACGAGAGCAGCCACTGGGGACCACCTCAATTGCATGTAGTGCACAGCTACTGACCACTGAAGCCTCATGGTTAATCTTCTGATGTGTCATCAGCACTCGCGGTTCAATACGGTGCAGCCCGGCATTTCCTGGCTCTCCTGCTCTCCTGCAGATGTTCTGACACTGAGCTCATCACTATCATTTAAGTGCCTGAGAGGCAACGAAGTAAAACAGAACGATGCTGCACTGCAAATGACAGGGTTGGCTTCTTCTAAACTCAGCAACTCCTAGTTCGGGTTGAAGAAAAATGATTTTCCTTATGTTGGCAATGGCAGGGGGAGGGGTTGGGGCTTCTTAAGCAGAAAACATTATCACTATAATAGGGCTTACAGGCCATCTGGGTGAGGCATTTAGGTCTGGATCCAGAAAGATCCAATTAATTTCCATAGGAACTATGTCCCTAAAAGTGTTTCTGAATTCAGGCCTTAGTAATGTTACAGGAGGCTTGTAATGACATCAGGACATGTCGAGGCGCTCTGCAAATTCCAGCTCATATGGTAATTTGCAGTTGCTCTTATTGGCACACGAGTGGCTCTCAAATCTACTATTTTAAACTCCCTTGAAGATGCTCAAAGAGAAAGCTTCAAGCAGCAGCTGCCCTTTCCCTGCAGAGGCTATTTTTCTTACTGTTCATTCAATATTTGTCTGGGTAAAAGAGGAAAGGAGACAATGTATTACTAGAGAGAATCAAACTAGTGATAATGTTTGAATTTCTTCTAGGAGGCAGAAATTGTAAGAAGGCTCCAGCCAGTGACTTTATACTTGAGAAACTGCATTTTAAACCAGCAGAAATCAACAGTAAACAGGGACCAAAAAGGAATATACATACATGTATACAAACACACACACATCTATACACATATACAGCCCCCTATATATACACAAACATACCTACACACCTATACATATACCTATATACACAGACACACACGTGTCTCTGTGTGTGTGTGTGTGTGTGTGTGTGTGTGTGTATGTGTGTGTGTTTTAAGTGATTTTTGAACCAACAAAAATCAACAGAAAACGAGGGGCCAAAAAAGAACACACAAACACACACACATACACACACACACACAGACACGCGTGTGTGTGTGTGTATGTGTGTGTGTTTTAAGTGATTTTTGAACCAACAAAAATCAACAGAAAACGAGGGGCCAAAAAAGAACACACAAACACACACACATCTATACACATATACAGCCCCCTATATATACACAAACATACCTACACACCTATACATATACCTATATACACAGACACACACATATATATTCATATTCCTTTTTGGTCCCCTGTTATATGCATATATCTATGCATCCCACAAACAGCCACTTCGCCTGTAAATTACCAAGGGAATTTAGACTTGACTTACCTCAATGTGAACTGATCCTCCGTTGAGTTTTTAGCAATGGATACAAGGAAAGTCAGAATATCACCTTGTTTGACAGTCTTTGGTATGTACTGGATGGCGATGTTATTATCCAACCTCATTTCACTTAATGAAGGGCCAACACGTGCCTGGTAAAGGAACACACTTCCAATCCTTTGCAAGGGAGGTCCTGACTCATCAATGTCATTGCGCCCAGGTCTGATTCCATTACTTTTTCTCGTGTCCTCCTTAGCGCACTCCCCCTTCTCATCACCCGGCTGGATGGCGTAGTACAGCTCCACAGGGCTTCCTTCAGAGTGATCCATTATTTTCTTGCGGCCGGCAACCACAGTGGGAGGGTTAAACCAGGCCGGCAGCAGTTCCAGCTCTGCCACGCACAGTCCCAGATCGCCCTTCAGCCTGCAGCTGCCTCTGACTTCCCGGGTCTCTCGAAAGGCAAACACCCGCAGGCAAGGCAGCCGCTCTGTGGTACTGTAATCATCCCAGTCCCTGCCCACGATGTAGAAGAGGACCTGGACTTTGGGCTTGGCCAGGTAAATTTTGTTGTTCATAATGTAGGCTTTAAGTTTCCAGTTAAAGGAAAATTTGTTGGTGGATACAAACGGATTTGAAGATGACATTAGGTCCTGGGGCACTACTTGTTCAATTGAGAAAGGTCCATAGCTGGCATTTAGTATGGGTGGCCTCTTGGATTTATAGATAAAGAAGGACTCCACCCGGGATTGCAAACTAGAGTTCCTCATGATATCCTGGTTGGCTTCCTTAAGAAAGAAGGAAATGTCTGCATTGTGGATATGATAACTCACGGGTAAATAAGTCGGCAGCAAGGAAAATCTCTGTATGCTCTCCAGGATCCCTCGAGTCTCCGTCACTGTTAAAAGAAAAGGAGACTTTAGAAGCTCCAAGTTGAAAAGATTCAGCATCTGGCAGCCCTCGAAACCCCCTCCCCATGCCCTTCATACAATCACAAGGACAATGTAGTTCTCATGGCAGCCTGCCCTGTTTGGAAAATCAGAGGGCAAATTATGGACCTGACTTTGGGGGAGAAGGGGTGTTTTTTGGGTTTCTTGCCTCATGTTTCATGAGCTCTGATAAACTGGGTAGATAGAAATATCTTAGGGTACATCTACATGGTATAATTCAGTGCCATATTGAGATAGCTCAGGTACCCCAAGTAGCATAGCTCCACTAAGGCAATGTTCCAGGGTAGGCTGTTGCACTACCACAGCTATACTGCTTCTGGTACCCCGCCTAGCTTGAATATCTCTGCACAACCACGTAGATGTACCCTTACAGTCCCCCTGCCGAATAAAGTGCTAGTAAGAGCACTTTGTGGCATCGATCAAGACAGGGCCCCATTATACAGAGTATCCAAACAAGGTGAAAGGAGTGCTGCCTCCAAGACTTCATACTTAAGACCAGGAAAAGCAGACACAGGTAAAGCGGTTTTCCAAAGGAACTTATGAGTGCAATTAATAACAATGCCAGAAAACAGTCCAGTGATTTATCCGCTGGTCCACACTGCCTGTTCTAGTTGCAAACATGCACTTACATTTAAATGTGCATTCATTCATTGCCAGGGACTGAAACCATTTGTTCATGTCTATCAAGCTAGCAGTTGCCTTCCAGTACCCATCATTACAATAACCAAGGTTTGACTTTCCAAGGATGTTCAGGAGTAGCCTAACTCCGCTCACCTCCAAGCCTGTGGATACAGCACAAGCCCTCTCCCTCCAGCAGGGCATCTGACTCTCCAGTGAATGGACCTTCCTCTGGGGTGATAACCACCCTAGTGCAAAAAGCTGAAATGCATTATTTCAGTCCTTCTGTTAGACCTAATCCTGGCTCTATTCACTATTTCTTAGCAGCAACCCCAGACACCAAGGTAACTTTAAACTCATTGTCTTAGTACAGTTAACAGTCTAGCCCAGAGAACATGGAGCTAGCCAGCATGTGCTAAATTACCCAGTGTTTGGCACGGTGAATTAGCCCACACTGTTCTACGTTGGCTAGACTATTAGCAGTCCCCTACTAGTTAATTTAAAAAAACAGGAGGGAGTGCGGTAGAAGGACATGGCTGAGAAGTCTTGCCCACAGAGTCCACGCTAGGGCAGAGAGCTGAACCTGGATTTCCCCGAGTCCCAGGGTAGCGCCTTAATCAAACAGCCAAAACCTTCATTCTAGAAAGCATCTGGATCACCCTTGCTATAATGTACTTGATAAATGCAAGCCATTGTCATGGAAAACCCTTTGCCACTACACCAAAATTTGATTTAAAAAAAAGAGTGGCATGATATCATGCAGTAGAAAACAATCCAAATTCAGAGAAAATTTCAAAAAACCTAGGTGGCAAATATCCCACAGAACGCACTGGGGGGATTCAAGCCTTTTCAGTTAATGGCGCTTTTAGCATTTGCGTGTATTTTGCTGCCAGGAGACTTTATGGCATTCCTTTGTGCTATGTTTATGTTTGCTTTAAAGACCTGCATAATTAAACTTTAAAAGATGGAGAGAAGATCAGCATACTGATATAGCCCCTGCAGACAGCACTGGTTTAAAGCTGTAGAAAAACCCTTGCAGACTCCCGGCACATTTAACTATCTTTCCGAACATCTCCTCCTGTATCCCCTGAGAGGTTAGAAGATGACCAGGGAGTCCGGCATTAGGACGGTCATTTTGTAGACTGTCTATGCATGTAGACACGTTTCCTGCCATGGAAGGCTGGATTCTTCTAGGCTAAAAACACCAATTTAGAGCTTCTCTAGAGCACTGGCCCAAAAGCTCCAGTTTCATTACGGAAACTCGTCGGGTTTTGGCCCCTTGGCACCCGGCAGAATACAACAAGAAATGTTTTGATACTGGCCCACAGAAATCTACTTCCAGCATGGTTCGGGGATTCAGAGATTATGAACCCACAACATCTAGACGAGCCATAAGGACTTCTCTGAATGACTCTCTGAACTGCACCATATCAACACAAAGACACCCAGAAAAAGGATCTTGATTTCAAAATCACCAGTCTCAGAGAATCTATCACAGGCCTGACCCCCCCACCCCACATGATCCTCATTTAAAATTTGGTGCCCTATTTCTGGCCTAAAATTGTCTAGCATCAGCTTCCATAGAGCAGTGTTCCTCAATCTTTTAAGTAGCAAGTACCCCCTAACTTCTGAAAAGTTTAATAAAGTACCCCAACATTCAATTTTCCAGGGGATTTTATATTTACAGACTAATGTGTGCCATATGTTGGAAGAAGGGCTGTGTATGTAAGGCTATGATATGGCAGATGTCTGAGCTGGTGTGGATAGGGTGCACAACTCACGTATGTACCTGGGCTAGAGGTGATGTTGGCCAAAGCTAGGAGGGCTGAACACCAGATTATTACTGGGGAATTTAGTTCTTTAAATTGCACCAATTTTTTTCTCGTCGTTTTGAGAAGAGAGGGCGAGAGAGTGTTGGGGTACCTGCGTACCCCCTGCTTGTGTCTCATGTACCCCAGGGGCACACATACCATAGGTTGAGAAACTATACCACAGAGGACCTTGAACAATGTCCCTGTAGTCAGCCCAGACATCTAGCATACTGTAGCCTGCTTGCAGAGACTCCAGGTGACCAATTTTGCGCACCAGACTCTCTGTACAAAGTGTGTGGATACCCAGGGGTATCAATACTGTGCATCTGGGAACATTCACAAATCACATGTCTGAGTTTTTTCTACCCCCTCTCCCCAAGAAGACAAGAGATTAAATTTAAAAAGAAAGATCATTTTTAAAAATAATAAATCAGCTGTCTTTTCATTTGCCTTTGGGTTTGTTTCTTTACAAGGCAAGTTTCTACCTTCCAATGCTGCAGAGAAAAGCTTAAAAATATACTATAAAAAACAAGGCAGATTCTCCTGTGTTCCCATGGTTCTAGGATCTGCAAACATAATAAAAGCAATTTTAATAAAATAAAAGTCATTTCAGAAAAAAAACCACAAGCCACCGCTGATGTCCGTGGCACTGCATCTTTGCTGCCTGGGTAAGCCTGCCTCTGCCACAATCATACCTTCACTTAAAGTGTCCACACACCAGATGTGAGCATATCATTCAAGCTGCATTCACAACACAAGATCGGTGCAAAAAACATCCAGAGTACAGTTCATCCCCATGCCGAGAACCAACCCAATGCCAATGCACTGCTTAAAGTGCACCACTTGCATCCACTTAAACCCTATTCTTAGGGCTGACATGGTTTTGAAGACCCGGGGCTGGATCCTTTGTACAAATGATTATCCGTAGTCTCTTAGGAGTGTAATTCAGCACTGTGCAAAGCTTGCCCATACTCGCCTGGCAGTGAGAAAGACCATCAAGTGAATGGTTTAACGGGACTTCAGGGCAAATCACAATCATGGTCCGTAGCAAGAACTTGCTAACCCTGCTTGACCACCGAACTATATTAATGCAACTTATCAGATATATTCTGTACACCACTGGGCAGAGAAAGAACAATTTTCAATGACACCGTGCTTCTCTTACCGCCAGATATCTATCTTAACTGTGCTGTCGAGCAATTACCTGAGGCAGGCTATCATATTAAGGAATACGCTCTCCATCCTTTCTAGGAACTGTCAGTCCCAACGAGCAAAGACACACACTGTTAAACAATAATACCAGCCACGAATACAGCACAACCTTTCATGTTTGAACATCCGACCTTCGTACTCAAGGACGCACATCCTAATTGTGCAATAAATTGCATATTCTTCTGCAGCTACCTCAGATCCTTATACTTATTCAGAAGAGCAATAAGGGTCACCATGGATGTCATTCAAAGGGAACCAATTTCCCAAGCTTTATTCCACAAGTGCTTTATTAGTCTTACTTTGTTTGACATCTGACCTAAATATTTATTGTCTTGACAAGTACTGAGTTTGCCTAAACTGATGTTAGCTACCCTGAGCCACCAAAATATCAATTACAATTGCAATCCACTTCAAAAGGCTAAAACAGGCTCATTATCCCCAAGTCCCAAGGGAAGGAGTTATTAGTGCCTAAGAACTCAGACTGCACAACACAAACGTCCAACGGCAACAACCAGGTAAATACCTCCCCATATGAAGAATGAAGAACCAAATTCAATGGGAACATTTATCTTTAGTGCCCTATTCGGACAAAAAGAAATCCTTTATGAGAGTAATATCATAGCTGGGAGGCTGTCGTCTTGCAATGGGTGAAAGGAAGGTCACAAAGGCCCTGGAGGCTAAAGCCGTGATGACTTCTTGACATGACATAATGTGTTCTCATATGGTCATGAAGAAGGTGGCCTTGTGATTAAGGCAGTGGACTAAGACGTGGGCAAACTCAGTTCAGTGCCTGGCTCTGCCATAGACTCCCTGGGCCTGTCCATGCCCCGACTGCCAGGCAGTATGTGCCGAAGCTGGCTGCACTACGCATGCACCAGATCTTGAACTGGAAACAGCGTAGGCATGCTAACCCAGCGCTGCACGTAGGCAAATTGACTCTGCCTCTCAGCACTGGGAATCAACTCACCTGCTCTGCTGGTGGCACACCGCATCTGGTTTGGAGGCAGTACATGCAGAGAAAGGCAGAGTGTTTCCATACACTGCTACCTGGCTTTGTATGTTAGAGGTACGGATGTGCTCTGGGGGCTCATTTACTTTCTCTAAACCTCAGTATAATGGTAAACACCGTGTGGGGGTGTCTATGCACTTACTTAGGGATGCTAATAGTGAGCAGACTGATTCCTAGCATGGCTCTACTGTTCCTCCTGTGCTTCACATGCAACCAATGCCAGCTAATATTCAGAGGGAAGGACAGATTACCTGGCCTGAGCTATTTAAGGGCTACCGCAGGAGTCGCCCTTAGATTTGCACATTCCCATCACAGCCAGCCTTACAACAACTCAGCAGGTCCAAGCTGTGCCCTCAGCGTGCTCACTCCCTAGTGCATAAGATAAAGTGTTGAGGAAGACTATGCCTCCCTTTTCCATCCTCCTTTCCAAGTGAATAATCAAGCCTCAGGTCAGCTATGCATACAGCACGCTACAGCTCAGTGCACAGTTCTATTAAATACGAAAGTTGTAATGATGCAGTCTGATAGAAAGAAAAGAAAACCTACACATTTGCTGAAATGAGGATGGGCAGCTGCAAAATTAAGATCCAGAGCTTCAGCCCAGGTGCACATGGACCCAGGGTTTCCATGCAGGCCTGTTTCCACTGTAGAAGCACGCATGCACCAGGAATTGTGTAGTCAAAACACATTTTAGAGATCACAGTAAGCCTTTTCATATCTCCAGAACTGTGAGTGGTGCTGGTGTCTGTCTTAATGAGCCTTGCTGCCATTTTTGCTGTTACTTCTCAGCAGAGAAGTGAAGGCTGCTGACATGGTTTGTGACAGAGGAAGTACTAATCAGCAGAAATAATCAGCATGGGAGAAGCTGGCAATTGTCTCCGCAGTTTTAAAGCAGGATCTGTTATTTTCTCTAAGAATCAGTGTAGGAAAGATGTTTCCATGTTTGATCTTAAACCCATGTTATAATTAACAAAAAGCACGCGACTGATGCATTACAGAGCCTGCCTCAACACAGCACAGAGCATCGC